AGAATCTCCAAAAAGTTATTAGAACTAATACATTAATTTAGTAATTTCTCAGGGTACAAAAGTCAATTGCATATACACGAATGTCCATAGCGGCTTTATTCTTAATTGTACCAAACTGGAAACACACTCAAATGTTTTTCATGTGGTGAACAGACAAACAGACTGCGTACAGCCACATAATGGCGGGCTATGAAGCATTAGAAAGGAATGAACTACTGATCCATGTAACAACATAGATGAATCTCGAATGCATTACGCTAAGTGAAAGAAACCAGACAAAATGGTACATCCCGTGTGATTCCAATTATATGACATAAAGACAAAATTATAGGCACAGAAAACAGATCAGTATTTGCCAGGGGTTGAGAGTTGGGGGAGAACTTGACAACAAAGGGAATTTAGGGGGATGACATAACTGTTTTCTTTCTTAATTGTGGTAGTTGTTACACAACTCTTTCTGTTTGTCAAAGGTCACATAACTGTATACTAGAAAGGGTAAATTTTACTGTATGTAAATTATGAGAAGAGCAAATGAAAAAAAAATTATTAGCAGATCATGTGCCTTGATGATAGGTTTGGAAAAGGTGATCACTGTCCCTGGGATCTCACTGTAAAACCACACTGCCTCTCAGTTGGTTGGAACTAGAAGGGAGCTCAGTGTCATGGAATCAACTCCAGGCAGGAACAGGCATCAGCTAATGGTAGAAGCAAGTCTTCCAGGAGCAGGCTAGTGGGGGGCAGGCTGCCCTCCCAGCAGGTGAGTTGGGCAACACAACTGGGTAATTTGAGAAGCAGGAGAGAGTAATGGGCTAGAGCCTGGGCTCTATAGTGAGACAGCTCTTATCTCCTAGTCTGGCTCTGCACTTATCAGCTGGCTCTCTGGATGAGCTGCAAAACTCCTCAAGGTCCTAGGGTCCTCACCTGGGCTCTCAGGTACAACTGTTTTTCCTCATTAACCTGTGAGCTCCTTGCAGGTAGGGACGGTGATTATGTGCAGCATACAGTAGGTGCTCAATAAATGATTGATTTTTATGAGTTGGCCAACCCTGGAAGGAACTTTGGAAAAAAGGTAGCAGGAGTGTGGGGGTTTGGAGAGTCCTTATTTTATGTCTTAAATCAAATGTGTTAACAGTGTATGAAAATGACTTGTTTGGTTTTTAAATAAAAATTTTAAGGCCAAAGTGTAAATTTCTTTTATACTTTTCAAATCATTTTCTATCACCTCAGGCCCCCATTGAGAAAAAAGATGGTAAAATTGACATTCTCAGCAACCACACTTGAAAGAGATATAGAATTTGCTATAAGGGCACATTTCTGATGCGTTGTGAGGCTCAAGGAGCTGATAAGGCTATTTTAGGTCATTATCACATTTCCCTTTGGTCCCTGCTACTCGGGTGGTCTCTTGCCTTGTGACTTTCCTCCTGCAGGAGGCTTACCCATTATAAGCTGTCAGCAAATCATCAGCTGTTCCGTTTCTTTGAAGAAAGATAATAAACTTCCTGATCAGCAAGAGGCCAAGGCCCTCCCTGTATCCTTATCTCCCAAGGAACTCGAGAGGTGTCTAGTCCACGTCACCACTTTTGTTTAAAAGCTTGGCTCCCAGTGCTAGGCAGAGAGTATGTGCTGGAATTCCATTTATAGCTCTGGTTGGAATTGTCTGCTGGGAAACTGATGTGAAACAGGGTCCTCACGTGAACTCAGCATTATTTGTCACTCAAAGCCAAAAAGGACAACCCTACCAGAGCGGTTTCAAATCCATATAGTCTGTTATTTGCAACCTGTGCAGTGAATGGCAACAAATATACAACAGGAAAGAAAAAGAGGTCTGAAAATGCAAACAATGATACAAAAAATAAATGTGCATCATTTGATGATATTGACCTCGAAAAGAGAATCAAGATCATTTCCCTTTGAAATAATCAGATTGTTTTGGCCACAATTGAGTTTATGTGTAACCCTGTCGCCCATATTCTTTTTTCATTACTTTGAGTTTTTGCACAAATCTATTAATGTTCATAGTGGAATAAAGAGAACTTTCATGTTTAAAAAAATCTATTTCATCTCAAATATAATATGGGTTGTTCAAACGTGGTTAAGGTGCAAGGTTAAAAATATGCTTTTATGCTAATGAGAGAAGACTTCCTTCTGTATGCTGATTTGATAAAGCAGTATAAGTTTTAATGAGGGAGAAGCATATTAAATCTGGGTCTAAACACCTTTCTTATGTCAAGATGACATATTTTTTTCCCCAAGTGAGAATTCATGCCTTAGTCTTAATTTTAGAAGAGGACGAGTAATTTTTTTTCATTGTGCTTTTCTGTGTTTTCCAAGTTTTCAGAATTGACCATAGAGTTATTTTCTAATTTGAATAAGGTACTTACTGTTAAAATAGTTTTAAAAGTAACCCAGAGGTATTGAGGTGAACCGTATCTGTTGATGTATTAAAAAGGAAGTGGATGCCACACTCGCCTTGGAACGAAGGCCATTCCAGAACTTGTGCTTCCTCAAAAAGAAGGATGGACATGTCAGCAGCTCTGAAATGGCCTTATCCTTGCGGAAATGTAAAGCGATAGTCAAGATCCTGCTTGTCATCACTGCAAATGTGAGAGGTGAAACACACAGCCAAGCAGAGCATTTATCTCTTTCCTGAACCAAAGGAAGGAAGCCTTTCGAGACATTTAGTGTGTTTGGAAGATGAAGATAAAGGGAAGTACCCTTTTTGCCTGAATGAGAGGACAACAGAAAGATTGTCCAGGCATTGGTTTTCACGTTTTGCTTCTCTGGCCTCGAGACCTATCAGGAGGAAATGCCTGAATGTTCAAGGAATCTTCTCAGACTCCTTCGATAGTAGATGTGAGCCTTGCCACATTTGCACACGGTACTGGCGATGGCATGGATTAATGGCCTGAAGATTTGGAATCCCATTTGCCTGCTCATGTTTTACGAGTTACCCACTGTTTAAAAAGGGCTTGGAGACTTGGTATCATTTTATTTGTCTTTTATTATCAGAGGTCTATTTTGACTGTGATTCGCTCATTCATTTATTCATAAAATGTTTCTAAAGTGCCTTCTTTGTATCATACACTTTGCCAAGTACTTTCACCTATATTAATGTTTTAAAATCTCTACCATAGTTTTGTAAAGTAGGACTTTTTACTCCCTTTGACAGCTAAGAGGACTGAGGGATGAGCAGGAAGTAACTTGCCCAAACCAGCGATGATGGAACTAGGTCCAACCCTAAACCTTGGTGGCAGGCCCAGTGTTCTTGGCTCTCCTGACTGTGGTCTGTCATTTGTGATGTTGGACATGCTGACTTTCGTCACTGCTTCTTGGACAAGGCCTTTTCTTGTCTACGGTGTGTCTGATTAATAACCCAGCATCAGGTTAGTTTTTGTGGGTTAGAGAGAGAAAAGTAAACCTAAAAGTTCTTTCTATTGTTTCAGGATGTCTATAAGAACTGGATGTGATCATGACCATGTTTGGTACTAAAAAAGTTCTCGAAATTTAATCTCTTGATTCTGATGTGATAAACTCTTAGAAACATGCCGTGCCAGCATGCTGGGTGAAGCTGAGAGCAGAGCAGTTGACAGAGAGAAGGGCTGGGGTGTTCTAAACAGAAACCTTGGCCTTTCCAGAGTAAGGAGCATATTCCAGGCATTGACTGGGAGGGCTACAGGCACCTACCAATCAAAAGAGAAATTAGAAACACATTTGGAGGATCTCTCTCTCTCTCTCTCTTTTTTTTTTTTTTTTTTTTGACAAGTTCTGCTCCAGGCAGTGGGACAGAGTAGAAAAAGAGCAAGGTTTGGTGCCAGGCAGCCATGAACTTGAACTTGCTTTATCACATACGAGCCCAAAGGAAACTGGCAAGAGATAAGCTTCAAATCTCTGATTCCTCATGGGCAAATGCCTAACTCAAGGATGCGTTTTAAGAATTAGATCAGATAATATAGGCCAAGTACCTCTCTAGCACCTAATGTCAGCAATGTTGAGTAAATGGAAGCTATTATTCATTTAATCACTAGTTAAAAAAAGAAACAGGAGACAACATTATGCATACAATATGGGCTCAGCTATTTAGAAGCCATATGGAACAAAAGACCAGAGAAATAAGCCAAACTATTAAGGGTTTCCCACGTGTGACAGAATACAAGTTGCTGTTTTTTATTTCTTTATACTTTTCTAAACTTTACAAGCTGAGTACGATTTGCTTATATTATTTTAATCAGGAAAAAAACACAGCAAAAGAGAACTAATCTTTCCCCTTAAGTGGATCCTTAAGGAGATGTTTTCATTACATCTTAGAAGATGGAAAACAAATGGTAAATTCATGAATTAAAATGGCTGATGTGTTACTATAATAAAAGGGATCTACATAATTTGCTTGTCATAGCAAGGACTCGGTCACTACTTGAGTGTTAACATCTTTAATCAGGATAGAAGTTCAATTTTAGCTAACAAATGCTGTGCATGACCACAGGAGTCTGACTATACCATTGACTCTGAATTAGTTTGTAGTTTTTCTTACAATGGAACCTGGTCATTATAGAGTTTGATATTGCATCCAAAGAATTAAATTTTTAGAAGATTTAATGATTATTTTGGTTGCCAAACGATAACTACAGTCTTTGAGATGTTGTAACGAAATTTCTTCTTAAAGAAAATCATGTTTGGGGTCATAATAGCCCAGCATTCTTACTTCCTGTCCATGGTCAGTTATCTTTTTTATAAAAGTGGATATCCTTTCAATTGTCCCTTTTTCTGACTTGTAAAGAAATTCTCTTAAAGAGAGATCTCTAACTGGAGGAAAGCAGATTTCTTCATAAAAGCTGACAGGGCAAGAAAGATTTTCTACATATAGAATGAAATGGAACTTTCTAGAAAAAGATGCTGACATTCTCCTTTTATTGGGCTTCCTTCCTCTCAATTTTCTGTGAAATGGGACGTTGAGAAGTTTGCATCAACGTGCAAGAAAATTGTTGCTGTCCAAGAAAACTTACCCATGCAGTCTGGGCCCCAGTGGCCTGGACAGCACTGAGGCTGGATATAGTCCTTCCTACAGATATGGCGGCATCCGGGGAGATACAGCGAGGACGTTCTGACCTCAAAGGTGTACCTTGGAGGGTAAAGAGAGGATGTTAGCCCACGATCAGAGCAATGCAGTTAACTCTAGGCAGTGGGATTGCACTAGATTTTTATTTAGGTCTTTCCACTGGCTTATATTATAAAATATATAGATTGAACATATTTTGCTTTCTAGGTAGAATAAAACTTAATCATGATTTATCTTTAATTGTAAGAAATGGATGAAAAAAATTAGGGGACGATGTAAACAATGGTGAAATATCTTAAATGATGTCAGAAGTGAAGTTAGTAGATGAAAAAAATGATGTTAGTACCACCTTGGCCATGAAAAAAGTAGGCAGCACAAAAAGTTCTCAGTAAAGTTGCCATACAGATTTAACCTTGAAGCCTAAATCTTTCTGATATACTTTCTCAGAGAATTTGGTCACAAATGTGTGCCCACTTTGGTAATTGAGGGGTGCACTGCTGTGTATACTTGCTAATTCCAGATCACTTAATGTTGGGAAACATCTATTGAAAATGATGACCTTGGGTTTCAGAATATAGTGCAGTTACATTAAGCAAATGTGAATTTAAAATAGTGTGATATAACATAAGGTTTAATTTTATACAAAGTAAGAAATAGTACTAATCCTTCATTTCTGAATTAAAAATGAACTCACTGAGTGCTGTCTAATTTTTAAATTAGCAGACTGAGTAAATTAAACATTGTGTTTGCACTTGAGCTGCATGGCTGCATCCATTAGCTGGTGAGCAGAACTGCTTGTCATCATTTGCAGGAATTAGTCTTGAATTATGAGAGTTTTGAATCAGAAGAGGATTTCAGGAAAGCAATGCTCATATAAATGCAACCAAGCAGTAATTCATTCATCTCCCTCTTTGGGTTCTAGTTAGTATCACGGTCCATAGCTAGTTAGTAAGATGACTGTCAGACTCAAGGCTTTTAACATGTTCTGACTAGAACCTTTTTCAAATGAAACAAAATCCAGATTTTCAAAATAAAGAAGGGCAAGATGAATGGAAAATGTTTATGTGTAATGCAGTATAGTCAATTTTGTATTAAAATGTGAATCAATAATAATGTTTTTTAGACTCAAGGTCATAGTTGTGAGTAACCTAAGTTTGGGCTCAATGTAATCTTAAAGTAAGAGAAAATCATGGAAATGCATTGTAGTTTTTGAGATAGGAAGTTTCAGTTTGGATTCACAATCCCTTGAGTTCCAAGACTCAGCACACTTATTTTCTCACAAGTACCTGCAATCTCGAACCCCTACGGAGCCATTGGTAACTTTGGTGTAACCATCGGGGCACTTAATTCCAAAGTTGAGTGAGCAGGATTGGCACTCAGTCCTAATTATAAAGAGAGACTTCTTATCACATCTTTTTGCCTGTGAAAATATAAAAAGAAAAAAATAATCAAGTTCCATCAGCAGAGCCTTGGTTGACCAATCTTCCATTGGCTTCATGTCAATGAAATGACAGGGATGGCAATAAAGTTGATTGGTAATGACTGGAGGGCTGCTTTCAATCTTATGTGGAAATGGTGTTGAGATCAACAAGCAATGTCTGTCATGGCTGTGGGCAAGAGAAGAGGCTGCTTGTACTGCCCATCTGCCATCACTGATCTCAAGTTTGGAGTCCAGCAAGGTAAGATAATGTAACTACACACACACACCCAAATGGGAAACCTGAAGCATATTGCAGAATACACTTTTCAAATGGGAAATTGTTAAAGCAGGTTATTCAAGGTCAATTGGTCATAGATCAACAGGCCTTAAGGATATTCTTTCAGCATCGATTCCACACGAATATCTAGTCTGAGTGCTAAATGCCATGGAGTACACAGTTCCTGCTCCAAAGATGTTTGCAATCTTTTGATTACAATCCAGCTAGAAGTGGGCTCCATGAGATCTTTTTCTGTTTTGTCCTGTGCTGTACCCTAAGCATTTGGAACAGTAACTGGCATGTAGTAATGCTCAGTAAATATTTGTTGATTGAATGAATGAATTGTAGGACATCAGACAGACACACTAGAAACAGTCAATTAGCAACATCAGGAGGCAGAGAATTAACTGCTAAAATGAATGACGCAGACCCATTTTGGCCCTGTCTTCAGGATCTCTCATTGTCCAATGATGCTTGTGCTGATTCGCCCAAGTACATTTCCTCCCCTTTCTCAAGTTTCCTTCATCTCCCCACCAAGCTTACGATGAAGCAGCTTTGAACAACGAATTGAGACTGAACTTGGAAGTCAAAAGACCTAAGCTTGGAATCAAGCTCTGTATCTTGCTAAGTGTACAGTTTTGAATGAATTCCTTAGTCTTTGCCATCGTCTGTTAAGCGGAGATATTGATAAACACTCTTCAGGTTACCGAGACCTTTAAAAGAAGTAACAATGTGCAGATTGCCTGGTACAGGATCTGGAACATTGTAGGCAGTAAACGCTAGTTCCTGTAATGCTTCTCCTTCTCCACCTCTGTGTTTTGCTTGTTGCCTCTCCTGATAGGAATGTTCTTTTCCATTCCCTTGACTACCCAAACCTCATATCCCTCAAGGCCCTGTGTAACACCACCACTTCCATAAAACCACACTCATCTCTCTTCCTATTCTTAACTTCTACTCTTCCTATGGTTGGCCAGTGGAGCATATTTGTTGTCTTTGTTGTCCATTTAAAAACCCCTTGCAGGAGAGGACCATGTATGCTTCTTCTTTGTTATTCTGTGGGCCCAGCACTAGGTTAGGGGTGGTGGGGACATCATAACTACCTCTAAGTTCATTGAAATATGTAAAACTGCATACGAAGAAATCTTACATATACAGAGCAATTTATGGTTATGCGTACTTCCAAAGGCATCATCTTATTTATCTCAACCACCCTAAGGATAGGTAGGGCAGGTATTATCATCCTTATTTTAGAGAGAGAAAACTGAGCGAGGGGAGGTTTAGTGACCTGCCCAAGTTAAGTTAGTGGTTTTCTGATTCCTTGATTAGCTAGTTCTCTTCCCTGCACATAGAAAAACAAAATCTGTTTTTACTGGCAGTTTTCATTGGTGATCGTTGTGAACCAAAATAGCACTGGAATGTTCCTTTTGGAATAATAATAAAAGCCACCCTTAGATGTAGTTTGAATTAACTCCCTTTAATGGTCATGACACCTCTACAGTTTTTTAAGCAGGATTTTCTTTACATGAGGGTTTCCCATTTGGGTAAGTATATGGGGTGACATTTCTTTGTCTTTTCTTTCTTAGACGGCCAGAATTAACATTCTCTTTTTAAAACTCCCTTGACTATCAATTTTCCTTTTCAAATGGAAGGGCTCATTCTACCTCTCACACAGTCCTGTCTTGAAAAAGAAACTTAGCTTTAAATATCAGTCAAGGCCTGATTTCTGTACTAAAGTAAGCACTTGATGGTGATGATGGTGGTGATGATGATGAGATAATTACTGCTGTTTGTGGAGTACTGTCAGGGGAGAAACAAGCTTAGGGAGGCTAACTTGCTCAGGGTAGAACAGCTAGTCAGCTGTGTAGCACAGTGACTGGTCCTCGGAAATATTTGTTAAGCAAACAAATGAAGGCCGTAGTTCACACTCACCCCTATCTAACCTCAGAGCTGGAGCACTTAACCATTATGCCATCTTCCAATGTTTTTGTGAAAAACATTATCAAAGTACAGCCAACTGGAGTGAAATAGATGTTGATAAAAATTTGCCTGGCACTGATGCAGAATCATATTTAACTTTTATTATTAGTAGAGCAGAAATCATATCTTGTGAAATGCATTTTAAATAAATCACTCGGATTGCCTCTCACACACTCTTCCTTCAGTCTGGCATTGGTGCAGATCTGATACTGAACTTGCTCTATGATGACAGCACATGGAGCCTGTTTGAGAGGCTGGTGTGTTGATGTACTTCACAAGGCCAACCGATACAACTGCCCTGGCTACTTTTACTACAACTTGTATAAGGTAGAGGGATGAATTCCTGATGTGTTTTGTAATACCGTGTTTCTCAACCAGCTATCACCCGACCTGGAATTCCCCAGAGCTTCTCTCTATGTATCTCTCTGCAGCCATTGTTATTTTCTACATTCAGAATGATGCAGTGGGAGGTATTGCAGTGATGAGACTACTAAAACAAACAAAAAAAGGATACCAAAATCCTCAGTGGAAAGAGGAATGTTAGCAATAGAATCAGAGATCCCAACAATGGCATTTTTGCACAGGAATGTAACCAACAGGGTTAGCGCACCTACAGAAAGATGGTGCATCTCTAGGATCTATTCTCTGTAAGCTTTCTCTTTATTTTATCAAGTCCAGCTAGTACTCTTTACTCATGACAACACGGAAAGCAAAAAGCTTTTGAACACATCACGAAAATCAACAAATAAAAAAAATTTCAAGTCTCATCTTACCTGCTCTGTAGTTTCAGGCGGGGAGCAGAAATTTTGTACAACCAATCCAAGAAAGAAAAGTATTAAATTTTGTAGCATGGTGAGGAAATATTTGCTCCTTCTCCGTGCCAGGTACCTGTCAGAATTATTTAGCTATTTTAACTTAATTTGATGAACTCCCAGCGAATTCTTTCTCATTTCAGTGTTTGCTTTTAAATCCTTTCCTCTCTTTTTCCTGGATTGAAACTGATGATATGTGAAAGCTGCCTCTAGACAGGAAAAATGGCAAATCCAGTGGTCGTGGTGAAATCAGCCACTCTCAACTGTATATATGTCCTGGCTGAATGACAGGATATCCTGAAGGGGCTGAGGCAGAGACGTGATCCGGAATTTTTGTGCCTTGTGAAACTCCCAAGACAAGGTCCTGCCTCCCAGTGCTCTGCCCATCCCGCCGCTGGTCCTGCCTACTCCTGAACCCACAGCCCTGCAACATTTGCACAACCGCACCGTGGAAAATTGCAGGCCTCTCTCTGTGAATGCAAAGGTCCAAGCTTGCCATCGGGCAGTATCTGTGGGATGCCCATAAATGGGCACAATTCCAGGCACAGAGGGAATTTTGCAGAAGGCCGGGTCCTTGACATGGAAGAGGGTGTGGCCTCACCCAGCATGGTTGGCAAACTCTACTGCAAAGCAGTGTCTCTTTGCAGATGCCGACAGTTGGGTTTTCCACTCATCCTTTCCCCTTTTCCACGTCACTTCAGTAGCAAATGACCGAGACTATAGTTCTCATTTTACCCCTCAAGGCCCAGATCTAATGCCACCTCTTCAGGAAGGCTTCCTGCCCCGCCCCTCCCATACTATCCTGGAGACCCTCACAGCATTTTGCACACATGTTATGAAAGCCCAATCACATCTGTCACAATTCGTCTGTCTGTATGCCTGTCTCCTGTGCCCAATTGTGAATTTCTTGAGGACAGGAGCAAGCCTTCGTCTCTGTACCCCCACAGCCTAGAGTAGAGGCTTGTATTTGAAAATAATAAAAACCAGTAATAACAGCCAACAGTTTTTTCAAAACTTACTATGTGCTAGTCACTATTGTAGACTACTCCACGGATTAACCTGTTTAATCCTCATAACCCTTTCGTGAAATAGGATTATTGTCCCCATTTTACAGATGAGGAAACTGAGGCAGAGAGGTTAGGCAACTTTTCCAAGGTCACACAGTTAGTAGGTAGGGGATCCAGTTTTCAAAATGTGTGGCTCCAAAGCCAGTACTATTAACCACCACCCTCTACTGCCTAAACCAATGACTATTTAATGCATAAATAAATAGCAGGTGGTACTCCAGTCCCATTGACATGATGAAAAAGTGTCAGGCCTGGAATCAGAAAGGATAAAGTCCGGCCTTATCAATAAGACAGTCTTACGAGGGTACATCTCATGACACTGAGTTAACTGGGAGACTCATGCAGTTATAGAGACTAGTTTTGGTTAAATCATCTTTCTTTTTCTGGAAAGTCTTTCTCTCCTTGAATTTTTGAAACAACATTGCATTACATTGATCAATAATCTAAGAAACTTCCAATACAGACAGGCCCTTCAGAGGCTAACCCAGAGTTCTGAATGGGAAGATGCCAGATGAGAAAGTCCTTACAATCCCTTGGTTCCATGGGTTTCAACCCTGGCTTAGAATCTTGGAGAAGTTTAAAAATTTTTTCTGATGTCCCGCCCTACTTCGGAACAATTAGATCAGAACTTTTGGGGGTGGGGCACAGAAGGAGTATTTTTCAAATCTTCCTAGATGATTCCACTTGCATGGGACTGTTGCTTGAGGAAAAATGAACGATTATGTGTGAAGCCAATGAGATTTTGAGATTTATCTGTTACAGCAGCTGTGTTACTTTAACTAATACACCAGGGAAAGAAGTTTGAAGCTTCTTTCTGATTCTTTTCTCTCTGAAGGACATGGATAAATATCTGGGGCTTGGAATGGGCTAGATCCTCGGGGAAATAATAAAATGAACCTATATTTGCATTTTCTATATAGTTCTGGGAGATGCTGCAGGGGTGCTGTGGAAGAATTCTCTCATCACATAATTTGGAAAACTCTGCCTCTGATGTCCATTTCTTATGGATTGACCATGCTCATTAGCCCATTAAAGGTTCTGAGAATTCCTGCAGTAGAACATAGTGTAACAAAACCAAACAAAAACAGTTCAACTTTGCTTAAAGTAGCATTTTCCAATTTTTTTTAGACCAAGAGATGCTTTCTCTTTTTGCAAACCACCCTTAGAACCTCCAGATCTAGTGTTTAATTGATCTAGTGTTTTATTGATCTCTCTTAGGGAAATACTCTCTTAGGAAATACTAGACTTCAGCAGATGGAGTATTCTATTTTTCAGTTACCAGGATGAAGATGTTAGTCTGCCAGTGGCCATGGGGACTCCACAGACTGGGACCTGTTCATATACTTTATTGATGACTTGCATTAAAAAAAAAATATATGTATATATTACTCACATAGCTTTATTTAGAAATTGAATAGTTTTGTTAATTAGTTTTGTTTCTGTTAGGCTCATTTGATTGCTATGAACAGAGGTTTTTCAAGTTATTTCAAATCCCTAACACTGCCTCCCCCAAACATACTTGCAATCAACAAGTGCTTATAATGGTTCCAAGCACATAGTGGGTGCTCCATCACTCTTAACCATTACTATTATATTATTAAAACATGCTAATGTCATAGACCACAGCTACGCAAATCTCTACCCTTAGAGATCTCTACACTTAGCCCAGTGTAGCTCTGGGGCAGGTCTGGATTTCCTCTGTCCTGGGCTGACCCAGTTCTGCTGATCTGTGCCCCTCCTTGGGTGGGATGTCTCTTCCTTTACGGCTGTCCATATTCCTTTTTGTGGATTGTTGTAATCTCTCTAGCCATTCAAAGTTGTTTTGTGACAAGGGTTTTTAATCAACAACATTTCCCAGGCGATTTGCTCTCTCCAATATCCCCTACTGTGCAGTTGGCACTTACTTAACACCTGGGCATGGTTTTCCTCTGCCCAGGGCTGCCCTCTGCTCTCTCACCACTTCCTTCTTATGTCTTTCTTGATTAGCACTCACCTCCTTTGCCCTGTGATCTGTCCTCAGTGGTGGCAACAGGAGAGATGATAGTTTCCTCTTGAGTGAGAGGATTAATTTCCTGATTGGAATCTACAGAGACTTTTCCCATATTGGAAAAAGCAAAAGAGGGGTTGGGACATTTCCTGGGTAACACTGTTGAGCATCCTCTGTGACTGCAGTGTTCTGGGTTGTTAGTATTTAACCGCATCTTTCTCTACAGCATACGAGTTACTGAGATTTTAGTCGTTGGTCGCTTTGACTAATAAAGAATTTCATGTGAGCTTTGAGTAACATTCCAGGAAGGGAGAATCGTCGTCTTCACCATCACCATCATTAGCACCACCATCATCGTCATCATCACAAACACACATATATGTAGTTTTTACAAGTTCCAGATACTCTTAACCTTTAACTCACTTAACTTATTTAATCTTCCCCACAAGCCTATGACATAGACATTATTATTATCTTATTACTGTCTCCATTTTGCCATGAAGAGACTGAGGCAGAGAGAGGTTAACTTGTCCAAGGTCACAAGACTAGTAGGTGGTTGAGTGGGGATTTGAACCCAGGCAGTGTGGAGCCAGAGGCTGATGCTGAGGCATCCATATAACCCGCTTTGGTTCCTGAATCTTGAGCAAGGTCCTTCTGGACCTTGTGAGATGACTGACAGGGCTAGAGTTTATACTTCAGACATAGAACAAACCTAACTGTTTACATGGGGATCAATTGTATCTTTTGCCTTGCAGGGAAAAAAAAAGGCCAGAAATTGGGATCATAGGTTAACTTTCTGGTTAAAATTTCTTTTTCATTCTCTCTGCAGTTTTTTTGCTAGACTGAGGAAGGAAAAGATCTCAGAACAGAGGCTAGGTGTTGATCTTTCTTGAGCAGCTATCTAGGAAACTGGAAAAGTTGCTTTACATAGTTTCAACAGATCCAAGATCTTCTTGAATTTTTCCAAATGAAAATGTTGCTTTGGGAAGTAAAAATTTAGAAAAGGGAGAATAGTAAGTCCCTGAAAACTTTCCGTAGGAGACAACAGTGGGAACTATTTGGGAATGTTTCCCACCCCTACCAGGACCCCTTCATGCCTAATGTAGTCCTTGATAAAATATAGATTCTGGCCAAGGTAGAGCAAACAGAACTACCAAAACAGCTTTCAAAATCTCAGGTCACAATTTCAAGTAGTATTAAAGGTAGTCTCCTAGTAGGAGAGATGGATTTTCTGCCCTGGCTTGTGGATTTCAAGCTGAATAGGCATTTTTAGTGGAATCCAATTTTATTATACAAATAGCTTGGTGTTAGATTCACCTGAACATTCTTTTTATATATTCATTGGGCAGAATTCTTGGCACCTGAAACATCTTGGCCAGAGTACAAAATACTTTCTTCTCTCCCTGGCATCTTATTGTAACATTGAAGCAATTCAACAGCTATTTACATTCCAGATATAGAAATGATTAAAAAGGAACCCTCATTCTTCTTTGTGTTGTTAAAAAAAAAAAACTCTTTCTTGTACTGATCTGCTGAGCAATACTGAATTTTTTTTCTTTGCCCTTCTCCCTTCCCCGCTTTGGGTAAGAATATCTTGCATTTTTCGAGATCAAAGGACTTAACAAGCTAAACTGAGAGTAGTCTATCATTTAATACCATGTTTCAAAATAACCTCTATTTAAAAAGTCTTCAAGTGAGAGTCTAAATAACACTTTATTTGCCCTGATTTATAAAGGTAGCTGTTTGAAATACCTGCCTTTCCTTTGATTGTATAGACACAGGTCGCGTCTAACAGGATGGTTTTTTTTCTTGGTTGCTATCACACTGTAAATTTTACTTATCCATTCATTCATTCAACAAACGTTTATGGAATGCTTGACTCTCTGCTGGGCTCTGAGGACACAGAGGTGGATAAATCACATTGTATTGTGCATTATAGCTTTCACCATACTTTTGCACATATTATCTCACTTAAACTTTATTACAACCTCGTGAAATAGACTGGGCAAAGAGTAGTATCCTGATTTGGTAGATGTGAAAATGAAGGCATAAAGGAATTGAATAGTTTATTCAGGGTCAATAACTTAGGATGAACTAGTAATAGATGCCAGGTAATCTTACACTAATCATATGCTTTGCCTGTTATGATAGACCATGATTCTGATATCTGATGCCTAAGCTAGTGAATTGATTACCCGTGGTTCATCTACTTGAGTCATTAAAATGCTGAACTGAGGGGCCGACCCTGTGGCGTAGTGGTTAAGTGCGCATGCTCTGCTTCTGGCGGCCCGGGTTCAGATCCCAGGCGCGCACTGACGCACCACTTGTCAGG